GGTTACGGGGGGATTTGGGGANGCGCGCCGGCCCAAAACACACACACGGGCTGGGAGGCGGGGAGGGGATATCGGTCCGAGTCCCCCTCCCCCTCCCCTTCAACTTCCCCCTAGCCAGTCCGCCTCATCCGCCGCGTATCTAGCCCGTAGACCACATCTTACCACCACTCCATACACCCTAGCTAACCAAACCCAGCTAACGACATCCCGCCAACCAAAGCGCACTTGCGGCTGTAGCTGCCCTCTGAGCCGCAGCGCCGCCCCCTGCACCCGCCGCCACCACTCCAGGGGCGGCGGTTGCTCCCCCAGCTGCACCACCGCCCAGGCCGTCAGGGCGAGGGCCTGGGGACTCGCGTCCTGAGGGGGGGTGGGGGTGGGGGTGGAGGCGACCCCGGGGGGAAGGGGGGGAAGGGTCGGGGGGGTTGAGGGGTTGCGATACCCGTCAGCGGTTGCGGGTAGGGATGTAGCAAGCACCACTTGTCGACACGTCCGTCCGAAGACGAATTGGGGGTGAGGGGGGGGAATCATTACGTGCGAGGAAGTGAGACAAGTGAACTGAACTGCCGGGAGGCGTCTAAGACTGCCTCCAGTGAGTGAGTGGGTGAGTCCTAAGCAGAGGTGTGATGTCATCATCGACCCGTGGTTCCGAATTATGTGTGTGTGTGGGAGGAAGGATGTGTTGTTACTAGTTGTTAGTGGTTAGGAAGAAAAGGAGTACGAAAACCGCCTGTTCCCAATCCATCCCGACTCACATGCTTGGGCCGCCTGTATGTATGTCCCCCCATTCCGTCATCCCGCGAAGCCATCTTTCACCTAATCTATGCCCTGCCTTTCACACGCACCAGAACGCCCACAGCCCCCTGCCGTACTAGGACAGGGGGACATCCCCCTCCTCCCCATCCATTCCCTTCCTCCCTCCCTCCCCCCCTCCCTCCCCCCCTCCCCCCCTCCCCCCCCCTCCTTCACCTCCCACTTTAGACGCCCGGTACTCCAACACACCACTTCCCCACCTCACCTTACACTCCCCCCCACACTCCCGTACCTGCATCTTCCCATCCATCACTGCCAGCCCCTGATTTAGCAGCTCCGCAGGGGGCTGTAGCTGCAGTATCACACACGCCCACAGAAGGTTCGACACGTGCTGCGGGTTGGCGGAGCGGCGCCGCAATGCCGCCGTCGCGGCGGCGTAAAAGTCAGTGAGGAAGGCCGCCGGCGGTACGGCACCCATGCGGGCCAGGCCCCACAGCGCCTGAGACAGACCCGTGGGTCCGGCCGCCGGCAGTAGCGGCTGCAGCCGCGGCAGCAGCGCGCCGAGAAAGTCCTGACCTGGATGGCAGTCGACTTTGCCGTACGCCCACAGAAGCGCGCAGTACTCGCCCTGCGTGGGGGAGAAGCGCGGGTTTTACGGGTTTCGTGCATTCCTGGCGGGTTTGGACCACATTGGGGATTGGGGACTTGGAAGGATTGGGATGACGTTCGGTTTCACAAATGTTTGCGGGTTTGCGGGGCTTCGGCGGACCGGGGGTGGGTGAAGTACGGAGAAAAGATATACCCAGTGCGAGGGGAGGTGAGGTCGGATAAGATCCCGAACCCCGCCATTGAAGCCAGCCGTCCAGCTCTTCTCCAACACACACATACACACACACACACGGACACAGACACGGGCACGGAAACGGGCACGTGTACCTGCGCCATTTCCCCTAAGAACGGCACCGTCGCCGCCGCAAGCTCCGCCGCAAACAGCTGCAGCCGCTCATCCTCAAATTTGGCGTAGGACCGATGACGTGGCAGCCGTGCCAGGTGACGTGCCATGGCCACCAGCTGCGGGCCACCCAGCGGGGAGGAGCTGCCGGCGGCGGCGGCGGCGGCGGCGGCGGCGGCGGCGCCAGCAGGACTCCGGAGCGAGCGGTACAACGCCTCCAGCGACAACCAATCTGTACATTCGGTTATCTGGCGGTTTAGCGCAGCCTGCGAGACGAGATTGAGCCGCGGCGCCTGCGGCGCCTGCAACCGTAGCGGTGGCGGCAGTGCCGCCGCCGCCGCTGGCGGCGGCGGCAAGAGGTGCTGCATGCCGTTGTCGACGGCGACAGCATCCCCGCCGCCACCGAATGCATCAGGGGGGTCGTCGAGAAGCGCGTGGTGGAGGCGATGGGGTGCAGCAGCAGCAGCGGCGGTGTGGCCCGTTGAGACCAGGGGCAAGTCCGCGGGTGCTAGCTGCTGGCCCGCTGCGGTACTGCGACCGGTAGGTGCTGGCGACGATGAGTAAGAGGAGCGGGAGGCGGCGCCTGATGGGGGCCCGATTTGCCACCTGGAGCCGCTACTGGGATGCGGTCTGGCTTCCCCGGCCGCTAAGGGTGCTGCAGGCGCCAATACCGCGGTGGGGGAATTGCGCTGTGGGATGTCCTGTCGGAAGAGGGTCGAGTCTGGGACCGATGGTGGACCGGGTGGACCGGGGGAGAAGCGCTGCTGACGCCAGGCGCGCGCACGCCAGCGAGCAGCTGGGGCCGTCGAGGGGCCCCGCTGCGTATGGGAATTGTCAACAAGGACGGAAACGTGTATATAGACGGACTGGATATGATGTTACATTCGTAAATTCTATCAGTTCTGGGGACGTCGTTAGCCACAGGTTGCGTATTGGTTTAGTTACCATTCCGGTGGTTGGCCAAGACTTGCATATATGCTGCAAACTGACCTGCTCATGAATAAATACGTTAGTTGACTTAGACCTACGCAAATGGAAGTGCGAAATTCACCGTCAGAAGATTGGATACATGAGTCGGACGCGGCGGCGGAGTTTGGCCAGCGACGCTGACCTTGATAACAAAGAATTTACACGTCGCAAGTAGGCTATCTCACTCCATGAGAGCGAAATCCGTCCGCTGGTTGAGGCCACGTCCATGCTTGAGACTTATTTGCGTTCACTTTGCGCTATTCATAATTTAGAGCTCAGTACTTTCACAACCATTCATGTAATCAGTAAAATTAGACGCAAGTGGAATGTGCACCATGAAATGTTCACGACGAAGTTGTGCGGTCGTCGATATGGTACCGGTAGAGCTGTGATAATCTCCTTGTAAAAAATCTTCACCCAGCTCACAGCATGCATTGCGCAAATCTGCCATCACACCACGAAACGCCCTTTCTGTCCTCTTCACCGCAAAAGTGACCGCCACGCCTGCCGTACTACGCTCCATCTGATAGCCCGCCCACGTGCCCTCCCAATCCAAATCAGACATCCACTTCCGCTTCAGTTTGACGCTGCTGGGTTAACAGCTCTAACTGCAGCCACTTAAAAGAGCTCTTTGGAAAAAGGCGCTCCTTCTGCAAATATGTTCCTAAACCCTCACTAGTGGGAAGTAACCGCTCAGTCAACCCACTGCCAGCCCTCAGACGTCACCTCTGCCGCCCAGTCCAGGTCACCCGCGCCATTCCCCCCACCATGCGTCCCCTCGCGACCCCCCCGGTATCCGTCTCTCCCTCCCAAGGCGCCACTGCCGCTGCCACCGCCGGCGCCACCACCACCGCCGTCGTCGTCGTCGTCATCGCCGCTGCTGCCGCCAGCGACAGCGGCAGCCGCACGCCTAACACCATCTCGTGGATACGTACGCCAGTACGACATCGGTGGGTAGCGCCACCCCACTTCTTCATCCTGCCGGAGCCCCGGCCAGCGCTCGCCATCTGCTGACGGTAGATAGCGGTTTCGGAGCTCCTCCAGGAAGTCCAAAACTTGGTCTCGGGACAGGCGGCGCTCCGCCAAATCGTCCTGGAAGGCCTCTAGCTCGCTCTGCATGTGCATGCGCATTTTTAAGATAAAAGTCAGGTCAGCACGTTCACGTCGTGCAACCCGTCGTGACATGCTGGACAGTGTCCATGCCGTGGGTAAGCTTCGTGGTGGTGGTGGCAGCAGTAGCAGCTTGGCATCACGGTGGTGGTGATATGGGGCGGGGGGCGGGGGGGGGGGCAGCACTGAGTACCAGTAACCCCCGTCGTCGCTCCCCCAGCCTCTGCAACGACCGCCAACGGCAAACGGATTTTCCCTTGCATCGCGTCCAATGCATCGCGTCCGGGCGCCCAGTTGTGTTTTTCTTTCCCCCCTCCCTCGGCTTCCTCCGCACGTTTTGTGTTTTTCCCCCGCCCCCGGGCCCCCGGTCACCTGCAGCTTCCGGACTGCGGGCAGCATCTCCCTCCGAGCCAAATCGCCGACACGTTTAGTCTCCTTGGGTTGAGTCGGGTCGGGTCGGGTTGGGTTGGGGAAATGCTGTATTGGGTTGG